AATATTCCTTGAGGGGCTAGGAAGGTGGCTCAGTGGTAGAGCGCTTGCCTTGCATGCCTGAGGCCCTGGGTTCGATTCCTCACCACCACATAAGCAAAAACAAAAAAGCCGGGAGTGGCACTGTGGCTCAAGTGGTAGAGCACTAGCCTTGAGCTGAAGAGCTGAGGGACAGTGCCCAAGCCCAGAGTTCAGGCCCCATGACCGGACCCCCAAATAAAAAATATTCCTTGGATTGGAATACTGAACATTGATCCCACCTCATTCACACAGTATTTGTCATTTTAAACATTTATTTAGAAAGATTGAAAAGTATAACTTAAAAACATTTCACATGACCAAGCATAAAGGTTCATGCCTATAATCCTTGCTACTCAGGACGTTGAGGTCTGTGTACTGTGGTCACAAGCCAACCTGGGCAGAGAAGTCGATGAGTCTCTTATCTCTAAATAATCATCAAGAAATAAAAGCCAAAAGTGGAACTGTGGCTCAAGTATCAGAGTGCCAGTCTTGAGTAAAAGAGCCAAGGTATAGTGTCCAGACCCTGAGTTCAAGCCCCAAAACTTGCACACACAAATACTTGTCACATGTGTTTGTGTACCTTTTACCCCTTTAATAGTGCTAGTAGTAGTTCAAGCCCCAATACTTGCACACACAATGTATTTGTGTACCTTTTCCCCCTTTAATAGTGTTAGTAGTGACTACTCAATTTATTTTGCAAAGTATAGACATTTGGTTACAAAACAATCAGATACAGAATATGTGCTAACAGATAGTGCTTGGGGGCCTCTGATGTCCTACCTGTCAGCATAGATTTTGTATATAGTATTTAATTTCTTTTGACTTATTCATCCAGAAAATATTAGTCTATCTTGATGGTTTCGGATGTTTCCATTTGATCCTCCCTTTCCTATTCCTCTTATTGCACAGGACAGGGGAGCCTTGTCCACATTGGAAAGTCACAAGATTGCTGAAAACTTCAGTGGTAGATTTCTTCCATGGACTAGACTGATCACTCTAAGCGTCTCTCTAATGTTGCTAGAATCATCAGATTCCAGAATAGAAGAGGCTAAGAGGCCATAGGTAGCCCTTTAGTCAAGTGGATGTAGTTAGCATAATTAGAAATGAGGCAATGTAACTTGCATGCATTTATATTTTTGGTTAAGAGCTCTGAGTACTTGATGATAGTTTGATGTAGACAACTAAAAAGTGTATCTAAGGACATCCACCTTTGTCACTAAAGGACTGCAGAACTGATCACAGGTTAGGACAATAAATCCATGTGACCTAAGATACATTTTTGCAAGAATTCTAGTACTCACCTGGACTTTCTGCATTGTGAGTTAAACCTGTTGGTTTTGGAGTCCAGCTGAGTTATGTATTGGGAGAAAGAGTTTGTGCCCAATGTTCTTGCAAAAACTTGGGTTTTCTCTGTTCCCAAAAGAAACGATTCTCATAAAAAGGTATAGACCACTTTAGGAGAATATTTGAAGCAACAGTTATTCTTTATCTTTGTGGGGATGTTGTAAGATCTCATCCTCTAGTTTAACTAGTTGCTATGACTCTGAGAATAGGCTCTGATATCTGAAAATTTGGCAATAAGTTGTAGTATCCATCTGCAGCAGCCAGCACCGGTTCACGTTCTTTTCTTCACTAACATTCAGTTATATTGCAAGAGTCATGAAAAACAAATCTGCATCACACATTTGTCTTCCCAATTCAAAAGGCAAGGAAATATATTCATTCATTTTAATTATCCTCATTTCCATAGGCCAATTATAAATTGAAGATGCAGTTGCACATATTATCTCACATATTGCCATCACAATCATGTTATATGTCTCTAGAATTGTAAAATTTTCTCTCAGACATCAATATTCATTACTTACCCTTTCCATACCACAATCACATTCTTCATCAGGTTCCAAAATTCCATTTCCACAAATGGGCTGATTTTGATCTAATGGTTGTAAATTTGAAATGTTGTGAAGACATTTAGTCTCAATTTTTGAAATGATGTGAGCATACTTATGAATGCTACAGTTGCTAAAAATCTTTATGCCACTGGAACTCCTGGAATAAAATAATATTCTTCAGATAATAGATCTTTTTGTGTGTTTGCCAGTATCTAGGCTTGCATTTAGGTCCTTGGGCTTCTGCTTGGCTTCTTTGCTTAAGGCTAGAGTTCTAGCTCTTGAATCACACTTCCCCTTCTAGATTTTGCTTATTAATTGGAGAACATAACGGATTTGTCTGCCCAGGATGGCACTGATGCTTGGTCCTTAGATTGTAGCCCCCTGCATAGCTAGAATTAGAGATATAAGCCACCAATGGCCAACCAAATAATTTCATCTAGCTACTAACACCACATATAATTGATATTCTACACATGATTGTATAAATCACAAGATGGCTCAAAGTTTGAAAACAAGCCTGTACTTTAGCAAAGATTGTCAGCTATAAATATTTCTCAATTTTAATGTTTAACATTTTTCAAAAGAAACATTTCTTACAAGCTGTTATGACTTGAATATGACATAACTTAAGAAATTCATGGTAGAGTTCTATACCTATTGTGATAGATTAAGCATATAGGATCCTAATCTAACTAGATTCACTTCCTAAATGGAAGTGATAAAGATTAGACAAAGTCACTAAGTGCTTTCCACACATGACTGGATACTTGTGGCTCTATTAAAAAAGATCACAGGACACACATACCATGTCATCATTCATGTGCTAACCTACAATGCTTCAGACTCTGTTAGGAGGATGGCCACCTGGGAATGTGGTCCTTCAATCTTGGATCAGAAAATTTAACCAACCTGTGGTATGGTATTATTATTTCCAACAGAAAATGCAGTAAAACACAAAGTTAATATGAATGGACAAAGGCATCACTCAACAATGGTGACTTGTTCTAAGAAGTGCATCCTTAGGTAAATCTGTCATTGTGCAAGCATCATAATGTGCAGTTATATAAACTACAGTGGTTATACCATACCTAGGCTGTAGAATCTTATAGGACCACTCTAGTGGATGTGGTCTGTTGTTGATGGGAGTAATTATGTACACACACACACACACACACACACACACACACACACACATATATACACACCTGATCCTGAAGTATGCTTTGTTATTGTTGGTGGTGGTGGTCATGGGGCTTGAACTCTGGCTCAGGTACTGTCCCTGAGCTCTTCAACTCAAAGCTAACACTCTACCACTTGAGCCACAGCACCACTTCCAATTTTCTGGTGGTTAATTAGATATGAGTCTCACAGACTTTCCTGCCCAGGCTGGCTTTAAACCTTTATTCTCAGATCTCAGCCTTCTGAGTAGCTAGGATTACAGGCATGAGCGCCCAGCCTAATGACTCTCTTTTTGGGGCTTAATGATTCTCTTTTTGGGGAAGATTGCCACACTGGCCAGAAAGACAAGTGAAATAAGGTGAGCTAAGACAGTTGTCTCAAAACCTATTCTCATCCAAGGTTCTAAGTCTGGCAAGGAGAAAGCAGGTTCTACTACACATCCTCTTTCTGAATCCCATGGAAATTAGCTGGTTAAAACTCAAGCAGGAGTTGAATAAACCTAAAAGAATAAACCTAATAAACCTCATATCAACACTGGCTGATGAAAAATACGCAAGAATCCCATCAACATTCCTAAACTATAATTTGTCTCTAAGACAACTATTTCACACCTCCCCCAAAATCTTATATTCCTTGCTCTCCACTTCTTGTCTTCACACCTCTGCCAGTTAGACTGCAACACTCTCTATAGGTACTCTCCCAATCTCTCATCATGATTGTTAAACATGCTCAACCCTAACTAAAGCTATGCCCTACAGATAGGCATTAGGGATCCAATCCTCTGTGATTTTACTACAGTCTGTAATTTTAATTCTAAGTCTTTTATTCAACATCATCTTTCCTCTCATCTCTTCATTGCTATTCATCTACACATAGAATGCAGTGTCTCCTGTCTATAAAGTATCTCCTCTGACCATACTGCTCACAAGAATGTCTGTATTAACCACCTCTACTTCCTCGCCTTGCCTACAAAACCTATTGAACATCTTTAAAGATTATGAAAGATAATGACATGGAGCTGGGCACTGGTGCTTCAAACCTCCTAGCTACTCTGGAGGCTGAAATCCAAGGATTGTGATTCAAACAAGCCCAGGCAGGAAAGTCCATGAGACTCTTATCTCCAATTAACCACCAGAAAAATGGAAGTGGAGCTGTGGCTCAAAGTGGTTGAGACTAGCCTTAAACAAAAAAGCTCAGGGAGAATGCCCAGGCCCTGAGTTCAAGCCCCATGACCAACAAGAACAACAACAAAAATTAGTGTTTTAGATTATGTGAATTTATGAAACTTTACTGAAAAAATTCTAACTGATAAGTCATCTAATTTTCATACTGCTGTAATAAACATGCCATTGATTTTTTTCTAGACTGATTCATCCTAATGAACTTTTCATGATATTATTGTCCTAATGCATATTGATTATTTTTCTAGGTGGAGAGTGAGCCTACTTGTAAATTAAGGAGATATTTTCTTCTTCAAATTCCTCCTGTTCATTTCCCTCACAATATCAATCAAAGCAGCAGTACTCTGTAACATTATTAAAGGGACATAAAGCATCTTTTACTTGAGAAATAAAGACTGTAACAAAAATAGCAGTAGTATCATATTTCTAGAATATGTTCTAGTTCTCATTAATTTCAAGTGTATCTCTCAATTCTTTGAATGAAATTTTTTTTTCCTTTTTTTTAAAGCTTTATTCTAACGTATCTTCATGTTGTCTTTTCAGTGAATTCTTTTTCCAGTTTTTTTTAAATTTCTTAATCATAGGAAACAGTGCTTTCCAAGCTATTAAATCACCTAGAATATATTCCTTGTGAAATATTTTCAAGTATAATATACCTTTCCAGCATAAAAAATCAACATAAAAATTTAAAGCCAGGTGCACTGACTCATGCCTGTAGTCCTAGCTATTCAGTAGGTAGAAATCAGGAAAATGACAGTTCCAGGCCAGGCAAGCTAAAGAGTTAGTGAGACCTCATCTCAACCATAAGAAGCTTGGCAAGGTGATACACACTTGTCATTTCAGCTACATAGATATTCTAAATAGGAGGATCATGGTCCAGGCTGTCACAAATACAAATGCAAAAGCTATTCAAGGAATAATTAAATTTTGAAATTCCAGGTATATGACTTAAGTGGTAACGGGCCTGTCTTGCAAGAGCAAGAATCTTAGTTCAAAGCCCAGAACTATAAAAAATTTTAAAAAAAACCTCAACAATTGAAAAGTTTATTACATCTAAAACACAATCTTATCAAAGAAAATATGAAATTAATTATTGAAAGATCCTTACACAGCTCCCTGTTGCATTATGCATGAAGCTCTCGGACAAGAACAGTTATTGATGTCATCATATGTCAATCCCATGTTAAGGCCAAGCAGTTGAGCTATCACAACTGAAAATCCCTCCAAACTTATATAGTCTGGATACTAAAATTTAAAAAGTGAAGAAAAAAGATATGTAAGAAGGAAAAGAAAGTAATAACATCAAATATTTTGATTCTATAAAATTTTACATTTTAATTTCCATGTTGAGCAAGTTTATAATTCATTTACATGTGCTATTGATATTTAAATATATGCAAATTTTCAGATTGAGTCACATTAACCAGTATAAAAAGTAACCAAACTATGACATTTTCTAGTTTAAAATTTAGCATATACATAGTCTATGGTTTGGAACACATAATATTTCTGATGCAACCAAGTAAAACACTTTTACTTTAGTCAGATTAACAGATATAATTTCAATGTCTGTATGTGTCGTGTGTTACATATGATGGGAAAATGGCAGCAAGTATGAAGGAAATGGATTTTGCCCAAACCTGCATCTTATCTTACAGAAAGGGGAAACGATAACACATGAATCCATAAGAAACTTCCTATGTACAAAACTGGGGCTGGGAGGGTAACTCAGTGATAGAGTGCTTGCCCTGCATGCATGAGGCCCTGGTTTTGATTTCTCAGCACCACATAAGCAGAAAAAGCCAGAAGTGGCACTGTGGCTCAAGTGGTAGAATGATAGCCTTGAGCTGAAGAAAGAGGGACAGCACCCAGATCCCAGAGTTCAAGCCCCAGGACCAATAACAACAAAAAAATTAAAAATTTATCATTAATTTTATGAGATAGTTAAACAGTGAGTCTTGGAAATGGCCTAGCACTGAATAGGAAATTTGAGCAGGGGTTAATGTAACAGGTTGGGGCATACCATTGTGGTAGAAGAACCTTAAGTGGGAAGTTTTTTGGAAAATGGTTGATAGCAGTATAAAGCATTCTATATTTCAAATCATTTAACTCTGATAAATATCAAATACTATGTTTTCTTTAATCATTATAAGCAAATTTTCCAGACATCCCTGCTTTCTATGTTAGTTGAAATTTATAATAAAACTGAAAACATAGAACAGGTCTAGAAATATAGAAAAATAGTTGTTAGCTGTCCTTTGGAGGGGGCGCTCCTGAAATAACTGAGCTGGAAAACTCTGGTATCAGAGTATGAAAGAAGGTAAAACCCAGATGAGAATGTGAGCTAGGGGTAACACGCAGGAACCAGAACCTGAACTTTCAGTACTAGGGAAAGGAAGGAAGTATGATCTTGTACTCCTATAATTATCCAGCTGACAATAATCCCCCACCATAAAATCATGCAGCAGAAGACATTCCCTTAAAACAAACTAAAACCCCAGTTAAACTGAACTAGACAAGAAATAGAAAAAATAATTAACACAAGTAATGAACATGAAGACATCACTACAAGGCCTGTGACAACTATGTGTGGTGATGCACACCTGTGAAGTAGCACTCAGAGACACAGGTAAGGGTACTGAAAGTTCCAGGGTAGCCTGGGCTGCTTAATAAGGTCCAGGTTATTCTGGGGTACAGAGCAAGACCCTGTCTCAAGAACAGGGAAGAAAAACAACAACCAAACAACAAAAAGCTACTATGAGGGTGTATGTGAGTGAAAGAAAATGGAGAGAATAAGCACATATATATAGTAACAATATTATTTTATGAATTATATTGTATAATACAATAATGTATCATACAATATTATATAATGATGTATTATATTGTTACATAATATTATCATATTATATATTATACATAATATATATATATATGTATACATGTTATGTACAGAATACAAGTCTGTAGCATGGACTGTCCCTGACTAACATGATCCACTTCAGGTAAGGAAGAAGTTTGGTCTTATTCATTCCCTTGTACATAATATAAAAGTCAGTTACTCAGCTAGGCATTGGCAGTATAAAAATCAGCTACTCATCTAGGCATTGGCAGTTCATGCTTGTAATCCTGGCTTCCCAGAAGGCTGAGAGCTGAGGAGGATGAGGTGAAGCCAGCCTATGCAGGCTGTGGCTCCAGTAATAGAGCTCTAGCCTTGAGCACAAAAGCTCAGGGACAGTACACAGGCCCTGAGTTCAAGCCCTACTGCTGATCCAAAAAGAAAAAAAAATCAACTACTCAATCATGCTAAACAAAGCATGCTGGCAAAATTTCTGCAGAAGGAAAATTATTGCCAGTTTGCAACATTTAGTGTGGCTAAGGACAAATAGGACTGGAGTAGCACGTGAATTCAGTGGAGTTTTATGGGAAATTTTCCTATCCTTGGCCTGTAAAAGAGAAATTATCGATATGAAGAAATGTTAGCTGCTGGACAGACAGGAGTACACAAAGATGAAGACCCAGTGGGGTCTCTATGGTCTGCTAGAACATGACCCATTTCAGACCTGGTGTAGCCCTAACACTACTCAGCTAAAGGCCAAAGATCTGCCCTGGACAAAGAGCTCTCTGGCTCTCCACAACATAGAGTGGCTGCTTTGCAAATAAACAGGAACATGTTGAGATAAAACAAATTTGTGAAAATCAAAAGGCTGACATCAGTAAGATGCATGGTAAGGGCCCTCTTGTCCCCTTTAGACACAATCTCTAAACTATCAGGCAGAGATCATCTCCAGAGTCCAGCTAACAGGTTCTATAACCTCTTGGGGAAAAAAAAGGAAAAAATAATCATACAACAGCCACATTGGAAATGGTAAGAACAAGAGTTTCTCTTGATCTACTTTATCCACCCTCAAGGTGAACAGCCTGGGAGAGGGCCCCTCAAAATGTGCCGTCTCCTGAGAGAAAAAAAGCAGATGTAGCACTCAACTTCCCCGGCCCTCCTGGAAGGCCCATCTCTGTGCTGTCTGCCCCACAATACTGAGGGAGTAGGAAGAAGGCGTAGGTGGTCCTCAACATGGTGTATCTCTGAAGGGTGAGTGAGAGAAGGCAGGAGAAGAGAGGAGTAGATGCGGCTGTAAGAAGGAGTAGGGTTATCTCCAGAATATCAAAGCTGACTAGTAAAGTTTTAGTTTGATGGTTTGTTCTTGCTTTTTTGATTACACTTTACTTCTTGTGTTCGAAATTGATAACTAAACTCTTTTAAATGATACTAATTTTATTGCAACAAAAATGAATAAACTATTGAACAACTACTACATTAGTACTTACAAAAGACATTGTAAGGTTTTATGAAGTCGTAATAGAAAGAAGAATGAAAATTACATACCAAAGCAATACCTGCATCATAATGTTTGGTGCATATCTTGCCAGGAAATGTTGCTCCCATGTGTTTAGGATGTTCCCTGTAACTGCATTATTTGAGCAGGGCTTGATTATCACAGTAGTTATTCAGAACAAATTAAAAACATATAAATCAAATGTTATTCTAATAAAACTTGTAAATGTACTAAGTCCTTGTCTGAATAATATCCAACATAGTATAGAAAATTGTTCATTAATCAAAATTGTAATTCATTGTAACACCTACTTTTTTCCTCACCAGATTTGATAGGATTTTATTATTTCACATTGAATGTAGTTTTCCTTATTGTACATTCACTGTTTTGTTCACACAAGTTAAAAAGAAATGAGTTTATACTGGACACTGTGTTGGAAATGAACTTTACAACTTGGTCAGGAGGGGAATGGGGAGAGGAAAGGGAGAGAAAATGAGGGAGGGGGTAACAATGTTTAGAAAAATGTACTTATTACTGAACTTATGTAACTGTAACCCCCTTGTTCATTACCTTTACAATATCTATTTTTAAAAAGAAATGAGTTTAGAATTTGTAGAAGGGATCTTAGTTGGCATAAAGATAAGTGTTTACTTTAGATTAAATTATTATCCAAAGAAAACAAAATAAATTCTAAGTTAAAAAATGAACATGAAAGACATTAGCATAATTGGTAATGTTAAATAAATACTATCTACCTTTACATTATCATTAAGCTTAGAGTCCTCTGTATTCTTTAGTGAAGTTAAGAGCATAAAAAGAAGCTGGACACTGGTGGCTCATGCCTAGTCCTAGCTACTAAGGTGGCTGAAATCTGAGGATCATGGTTCAGAGCCAGCATGGGGATGAAAGTCTGTGAGACTCTTATCCCCTTAACCAAGAGCTGGAAGTGAAGCTGTGGCTCAAGTGGCTCAAGCACTGGCCTTGAGCAAAAAAGGTAGGGAAGTGCCTAGACCTTAAGTTCAAGCCCCTGGACCAGCACAAAAGAAAATGATGAAATATAGATTTTACATAAATTATACTTTAAAATATACTAGTATAGACTTAATTGTTCTGTTTTTATTTTTATTCTACTTCTACTTATACTGTCACCTTCATGGCAAAAACGATAGATAGGTAGGTAGGTAGGTAGAGAGAGAGAGAGAAAGAGAGAGAGAGAGAGAGATTGATAGATTTTAACATTTTCAAAAAGGTCTTACAAAAAACAAAGATACTATGAATGCATTATTTTGCCAACTTAGTAAATTTCTGCAGAACTCTATGCTTACATAAGTAAATGTGCTACATCATGAGGCTGTAGGGTCAGATACTCTTGTTTCCAGGCCCAAAATCTTTGCAATACATCATCAGCATCTCCATTGGTAGAAATTTGATTTGTGTGTGACCACAATTCCACAGAAGACAGTATAACAGTCAATTTGAAATTGGCAAACATCTAAAAGTAAAATGAATAGCATATTTTCCAAGTAGCATTGATAATTATATTAAAATAGCACCTAAAATGTTCTTAAAGTTCATCTGAACATTTTGAGTTTTAAACTAATCAGATGTTTAATTCATATTTTCATAACCAAATAGAAAACATTTTCACCAATTTTTCATAAAACCAGAAACATGAAACACTGATACTTACAGTGTTGACAAGCCCAATAATCTGGATAATTTTCTGTGTTACAGCCATCATTTCAGAGCCCATGTAATCATACTGAAACACAAATTTTATTTTTAGAATTTTTTAAAAATACAAAGATACCAATTTTCCTAAAGAAAATAAAGCTTGATGACATTAAATAGGAAAAGCATCATGTTTATTGAACATTTAAAACATGCCAATGTAAGATGATCATTTTTGTAACAAGAAAGAATGCACAGTAAAACATCAACATTCAAAATCAAGAAGAACATGAAATTACTTGGAGTCACTAAAATAATTCTGCAGATTTACATTTGGATAGAGGAACTTCTAGAGCTAGAAACTTTCTATGAAACAGAGAATCAAAGCATGTTGTTGCAAGCAAGGTAATTAAGTAACAGTAAATAAATAAATAGAAAAAGCAATTGAAAATAAATAGAAAAGCAATTGTATTTATAAGAGGAAATGCAGGAATCAGCAGAACGCATGGAGGCTTTTGTGGATTAATAAATCAGTAAAATCTGATAAAGAATGAGATGAAGTGATGGGAAAGGAAAGGACAAAGGAAGACCTTCTTCTCAGACTGGCAAGTTCTTAAGAAGACATAGACCCCCTTAAGAGCTTAAGGAATAGGATGCTCTAGATTCACAATTTAAAAAACTAATGCTTGATACCTCTGCCTAAGCTGCCAATTTTATAGATTTAAAATAAGGACTCCTATCAAATCTTTGGAGCATTTTCAGTTGTTTACTCACAATTAGAAACAGGTCAATGGATGTACTATTTTATAATTATTGAGGTAAAAAGTAATGTAAAACTTACATATTTCTGCTGACTGAATTTAAAGTTAAATGACTGCACACTGAGTAACAGAAACAAACACCCACATTGAGATGGGTGCAGAAAGAAGAGTTGGCCACCAACTCCAACAAAGCATCAAGAGTCAATTGAGGGAATCCCAACTCCCCTGCTCCTCTCTGTGGAATAACAAGTTTGTATCATTCACAAGACCTCCCACTGCCTCCTTTTTGAACAAGGCTTTCACTTTCAGCCATCTAGCTCCTAGAGTGATAAGGGCTCTATCCAATTTAGTTGCCCTGAACACAGAGAAGGATGGGCCTAGGGTCTCTGGCACAGCCCCTCTCTGTCTCATCTCTGGAAGGAGTTTCTATTCCTTCCAGCTGCTTCAGGAGGGTCTGGCTTCTAAGCAGCCTAGATCTAAGCAGATCAATGATTGGTAAATTTTTCCTGGAAACTGAGCGAGCCAGAGATTGGGCCTTTCCTAAGCTTTCAACCTTCAGTCTTAAATCTAGGTCTTCAGCTTCTCCCAGGAAGAACCTGGTGTGTGGCGGTGGAGAGCTGTCTCCACACTCAGAAATGGTGTGTCTCGATATTGCTACTACACTATCTGTTTTGCTTCTAAGTAGCCCAGATTGGCATTGCACTTGCAATTCTGTCTCAACCTCCTTTGTGCTGGTCGAAATATTGTAAAGATGACAATTCTTCCCAAAGTGAACTAAACATTCAATGTAATCTTCAAATCAAAATGACACCAGGCACCAGTGGCTCACACCCAGGAGAAAAAGGTCTGAGGATCCCAGTTCAAAGCCAGCCCAGGCAGGAACCTCAATGAAACTCCAATTAGTCAACAAAAAGCCAGATGTAGAGCTGTGGCTCAAGTGGTAAAACACTAGGCTTGAGCACAAAAACTCAGGGACATCTCCCAGTTCCTGGCTCAAGCCCATGACAGGCATGCACGCGTGCACGCACACACACACATACAGTATTTTTATATGTTTGTATACATCTATAAAGCGATTTGAAAATGGATTTAATTATAGAGGACTCAGAATATTACAGTGGAGGAAAAGGGAAAAAGTCTGTTACAATGAAGCTGCAGTAAACGCAAAGTGCTCATAGTGTTGCTTCCACAGAATGGATGAAAACAACAAGCCACACATGAGACATCTTTACCATAAATGGGTGCACATATGGGAAAATAACCTTAATCCCATCCCACTGCATACTGGTCACCAACTACAAATACACAAAACTCCATTTGTAAAGGTGAGAAGTATGAATTACAAATGTAATGTCATTGGAAATAGTTATGTACTTGGAGTATGAAAATCGTTCTTAAGATGAAAATAGGAAGTAGTGAAGAAAAAAAATAATTGGGCTTAATATTTACCAGGCTCAGACCTGTAATCCTAGCTACTTAAGATCTGAGGATCATGTTTCAAAGCTAGCCCAAACAGGAAAGTCTGTAAGACTTTTTATCCCCAATAAACCATGGAAAACTTATAAAGTGGAGCTGTGGCTCAAGTAGTAGAGTGGTAGAGCTCCGACCTTGAGTGAAAAAGCTAAAAAACAGCACCCAAGTCCTGAGCTCAAACTCCAGCATTGGCATATAAAACATGTGTCGAAACTTTGGCAACATAGTAGGGCATAAAATTAATCCTCCAAAATCAATGGCTTTCCTGTGTGTAAATAATAGAAGAGCATAGCAAACATCAGGAAAGCAACTTCTTTTGTAATAGCCCCACAAAAAATACAATACCTAGGAATTAACTAAGGAAATAAAGGACCTCTTTGATGAAAACTTTAAAAACCTGAAAAATGAAATTAAAGAACTAAAGAAGTAGAAAAACTTCCCATGCTCCTGGATTGGGAGGATTAATTAACATCATGAAATGGCAATACTTCCCAAGGCTGTCTACAAATTCAATGCCATACCTATCAATATCCCAATGAAATAGAAGAAGCAACCCAAAAATTCATATGGAACAATAAAAGACCCCGAATAACAAAACAATCCTTAGTTGAAAAAGCAGCACTGGAGGAATATCAATTCCAAATTTCAAAACTCTACTACAAAGCCATAGTAATCAAAACAGCTTGGTAATGGCACAAGGGTAGACCTCAGGACCAATGGAATAGAACTGAAGACCCAGAAATGAACCCGCAGACCTATGCCACCTAATCTTCGATAAGGGAACTAAAAAATAGAGTGGAAGAAAGACAGCCTCTTCAGTAAATGGTGCTGGCAAAGTTGATTCAACACCTGTAGAAAACTAAAGCTAGATCCTTATATATCACCCTTCACCAGAATCAACTCCAGATCGACTAGTCTGACGTTGATGATTAATAGAATTCCACTAGTACTAATTTTAAAAGATCAAAGATTTATTTTATTACAAAGTATACCAAGATATGTTTTGGGATAAAATTTTAAAATCCACAAAATGACACTATTATTAAAGTAGCTTTTTATCTAGGTGAGATTAAAAATAAATGGTATGTGGACAAACAGCTGGGGTAAGACTGGTGGGTGAGATTTGAACTGAGCTGGGAAAGGGAAGATTTGCAGGACATGAGAAATTTGAGGATTTACTCAAATGTGAAAGCCACATTCTCATTTATATAACACATAAAATAAAGTATCTTTATTAGAAAATATTGACAAATATCCCTATCATTAAAATAAAGGAGGGAAAGAAAAATGTAAGGAAGGGAAAGAGGGAGGGAGAAAAGGAAAAGAGAAGGGGAGGGAAGGGGAGGGAAGGGGAGGGAATGGGAGGGAAGGGGAAGGGAGTGGAGAGAAGGGGAGGGGAAGGGAGAAGAAAGGAAAGATGAAGAGAAAGAGAAGAGAGGGGGTAAACAAGAAGAAAAATCCATCTTACCAAAGCTTTTTCAACAATGATATGCATTTGTAGACACTTGGGTAATAGTTTTGAAGGAGCTTTTTCCTGAACGAACAATAATCAAAATTTATCAAATGTTAACGTGCATTGAATTTGTTAAGAGCCAAAGGTGACATGTAAAAGAGACACAAAAGATGCACATAAAGCCATTATGAGGACATATAAAATATAAAATATTAAAATTAATGGCACAGCCTAAAATTTCACTTCAAAGCATCCCAGTCTTAAAAAATCCTCAGTGAGCCAGGTGCTGTTGGCTCTGCCTGTCATTCTAGCAACTCAGGAGGCTGATCTGAGGATTGCAGTTCAAAGCAGCCTGGGCGGGAAAGTCTGTGACACTATTATCTCCAATTAACCACCAAGAAACTGGAAGTGGTGCTGTGGCTCAAGTGGTAGAGCGCTTGCCTTGAGATGAAGAGCTGAGGAACAGTGCCCAGGTCCAAGCCCCATGACCAACAACAATAACAAAAAATTCCCAATGAGACTGCAGAGTATACCATGAGTCACTGAGAATTATGTCTCTCAGATGCTTTTGTTTTGTTTTTTGCATTTGAGAAAAGGTGTTACTTTGACAAAGCTTACCTCAAACTTGTAATCTTGTTGATGCATCAACTTCCCAAGTAGCTGAGATTATAGACATGTATCAGCACCACATTCAGGTTCTATTTTGTTTTACTGTTATTAGTTTTCCTGGTGTGTGTCTGTGTGTGTGTTTATATACTCACGAGCTTGCACACTCATGTACACACACCAGTGCTGAGGCTTGAACTCAAGTCCTGAGCTTTTATACTCAAGGCTAGAGCTCTACCACTTGAGCCATAGCTTCACTTCCTTTTTTTGTTTGCTAGCCATTGGAGAAAAGAGTCTCATAGGTTTTCCTGCTTGTGTGGCTTAGAACTGCAATCTTCAGATTTAAGCCTCCTGAGTAGCTAAGATGATAGGCATGAGCCATTGGTGCCTTGCTCTATTGAGTTTTTTTAAAAATGACCACATAGTTGATTGGTTCAAAGTGGAATAATATGGATTAGAAACAGGGGATACCAAAGTAACAAAACTATTTAATTACTCCTGTGAATATTTAATGACTAAAAATTTAGGCTTTATTACGTGGATAGATCTAAAACACCTTTACTCAGGAAATTATTTCTAACACTACATTTTTTTCTAAAAAGGATATATGAGTTGCCTTTGGAGAGCGAGGTAGTAAGACAGTAAGGGCAATGATGACTATTTCCTATTATAGCCCTTCTATCTAGTACTATTCGACTATACAAGCTATATAAAGTTTTAAGCATTTGAAAATCTAAGATTTTGCCATGTCTGAAATGATGATCCTTCATCTTTAATTTGATACCTATAAAGTCTTTAGTCACTGATGGCTTAAAACAGCATGGTAGGCTGTTCCTACCTCCTGTATTTTAGGCAGAAGTTGTTGTTCCTGTCTTTTGCTATTTGTCTCTACTTTATCCTGCTTTGCTAAATTAATGCTTGCTAAACTTCCCCCAAAAAAAGAATATCTGAGTACGTGAAGCCAAAATTGTAAGGATATTTTCAATGATCCTTGCATGAACAAGCAACTATGGTAGTATATACCCATTATTCCAACACTCAGGAAACTGAAATGGGAATCATGAGTTCAAGGTCATACTGAACTACATAAGGACACCCTGTCTGAAGAAAAACATAGCATAAGTAAAATAATAATTCTTGGTATTGTATTTTCTTACAGACATCTTCTTCTACAGACATACTTCTAATATTTGGAATTATTTACTTTTTTTTTTTTGGTCGGTCATGGGGCCTGAACTCTGGGTCTGGGCACTGTCCCTCAGCTCTTCAGCTCAAGGCTAGTGCTCTACCACTTGAGCCATAGCATCATTTCTGGCTTTTTCTGCATATGTGGTGCTGAGGAATCAAACCTAGGACCTTGTGCGTGCAAGGCAAGCACTCTACCACTGAGTCACCTTCCCAGCCCCTGGAATGATTTACTTTTAAATATCATCTTCAAACATTATTCTATCACCTATGAGCTTATTCAAGATCAACTTTTTAAGTTTTTGCTAACACATTTAAAATTTGCACAATGTTCTTTTCTAAACACCATAATGCTGTCTTCAATTTTTGGTTTCAAAGTTAGCTTTATACTTGCTAAGCAGGTACTACACCGATTGACCCACACCTCTAGACCATTTTGCTCAGGTTATGTGAAATAGGGACTGGCTTTTGCTTGGGATGGCCTGGATTGCATTCCTTCTATTTTTTTTTTGTTTGATTTTGTGGTTGTGGGCTTGAACTCTGTGCCTGAGCGCTGTCCCTCAGCTCTTCAGCTCAAGGCTAGTGCTCTACCACTTGAGCTACAGCGCCACTTCCGGTTTTCTGGTGGTTTATTGGAGATAAGAGTTTCACGGACTTTCCTGCCTGGACTGGCTTTGAACCTCGATCCTCAGGTCTCAACCTCCTGAGTAGCTAGGATTGCAGGTGTGAGCCACCGGTGCCCTGCTGCATTCCTTCTATTTTATGCTTCCTTCCATAGTTGGGATCAGAAACAAGTTTCACCATACCCAGCCTTTTCTCCTGAGAGAGGTTCTTATTAACTTTTGCCCCTGGGCTGCTCTAGAACTGTAATTTTGATCTCTACCTCCCAAATAATTAGGATTACAGGTATGAGCCACTAGCACCTGACTAGGACCATCATATTTTTAAATTAAGTAAAATGCCCTTTCAGTCAGTGATAACATAGTTGCACATTCATAAGAAATTTAAATGTTTGGTTATATGGGCATAAAAGCTAAGAATATTTTAGGGGGCTGGGAAGGTGGCTCAGTGGTAGAATGCTTGCCTTGCATGCCTGAGGCCCTGGGTTCGATTCCTCAGCACCACATAAGCAAAAAGAAAAAAGCCAGAAGTGGCGCTGTGGCTCAAGTGGTAGAGCGTTAGCCTTGAGCTGAAGAGCTGAGGGATAGCACCCAGTCCCAGAGTTCAGGCCCCACGACAGGACCCCCCCAAAAACCAACTAAGATTTTAAGCCAAATAAACTGTATTAATATTACTTAACCTCATTTATTTATTTCTATTTAAAAATTTTTTATTATCTTTAAGGTTTTGCCATTCAACAAAGAAGTTTATGAGTATATCTTGGTCAATGTCATCCCTTTCACTGAATAATGTCATTGTATCATTTTTAAATGAGATATTTTTCAAATAGTTTTCTCATATGTGTATGGTCCTACTAATTATTGACCTGCTAAAAGAAAAAAAATCACATAATAAACATGCTGATTTATTACTTTGCATTCATAAATGTCTTAAAAATTAATTTCCATTTTAGTTACTCTTAATGTGTCTTTATAAAACTTCAGATGAATGTTGACAACCATGACTTCTACAAGCAACTTTTATGAATTGTGTATGCATATCACCAATTTAAAGTCCATTCTGCTGGAGATGATAGCTCCTGACTCTGATCCTAGTGACTTGGGTAGCAGAGCATGAGAGCTTCAAGCTTAAGGATCTGTCTCCAAGCACTGGAAATTACCCAGAGAGCTCAGGACCTTCTGTACCATTCACTTATAGACCTCCAGTGATTACATCTTAAAGAGATGTAGTATATTATGAAAATCAGGAAATCAACATCGATGCAATGAGTATATGCCAAGTTGCAAGTAACATACAGACTATTCCACCCCTATAAAGATTTCTACTGACATATGTATTTTGTAATGCGAGGGCTCAAACCCAGGGACACTGCATTCTAGGCACATGCTGTTATCCTGAGCCCACCCCAGTTCTCATTGTTATGCTTCTTTAAAGGCATTTGCTCTGACCTCCCCATCATCTTGAATTCTCTAATTCTGTCCATAGCCATTTAAAAAATGTACATAATCTTCTCACATTGCTTTGATTTACTCTTAATACTATCCTTGAGATTCACCCAAGCCTACAGACTTACGATATTTTTCAAGTCAAATTGTATCCAGCTTTTTCAAAGATACTTTTCATCAGCAGCCATGTTATTTCAGGAGGACAGGGAAGGCACTCTTTAATGATATGCAACTACTTTTAAACTCCTTCCTGGATGGAATGTCAAAATCATAAAGCCACTATAAAACCTACTGATATCTTCATCTGAAGCCGGGAGAGGATGGACATTTCCCTGACACACATTGTTTGATACAAGCCATCCATGGCTTATAGGAAGTACAATGAAATGGCAGAATTATCTACCTGAAGATCCCCAGTCCAGTAGAGACCCCTGATCTTTGGAAAACACCATCTCATAATGCTACTGCCAAACCTGAATTGCCCAACACACTGGCAAATGAATTTTAAGGACTCAGTCCTGCAGGATTGTGGTTTGAATGGAGTTAAGTCTATACTGATAATGGTGAGTGGTGTGGAGGCGGGATATGATGATTTTGGAGTTTCCCATACCACAAGGGGTTTGTCCCTTAAGAGCTAAGGGAAAAAGCTCTTAAATCTCACAAGGATGAGTGGAAAGGTCCTGAGAACCAAAAAGACAGTTATGGCTTCTTAGAGTCATTGTCTCCTGGATCTCCAAAAACGCTCACAGTAGATATGATTAAGAGTCCTTCATGGGGCTGCCTGTGGCAGGAAAAAGGAATGGAAGGTCAACTACTACCAAAACTGCCCAAGCCCATGCACCCCATCTTATTTATAATTTTTAAGGCTCAAATCATCAGTGAATGGGAAAAGAGGTTTGTGGCTTACATGACCTGGTAAAACACATAATGCTAGAAGAGAGAAGAAGGTGGAAACTACCCCAGGAGAGAAGAAAAGAAATACTTGCTAGATCCAGCATTACATTTGGAGGAGAAGGTCTGTAAAGACAGCACCTCCAAACCATGGTTCACAGTGTCTGTGAAGAAATGCTGCATAGAACATCATTAGACTTGCAAAATAATACTATGCACTTTTCCAGATGTTTTATATAAAGTTTGGGTGGTGTATCTCAAGTTTTTTAAAAAATACAAAATATAATCATGGAAGCAGCACTGTGGCTCAAACTGGTAGAGCGCTAACCTTAAGTTAAAAAGCTCAGGGACAGAGAGCATGTCCTGAGATCAAGCCTCATGACCAGAAAAATAAAAAATCTTATAATATTGTCTGTCCTGGGGCTTGAACTCAGGAACTGGGGCCTGTCCCTAAGTTCCTTTAGCTGAAGGCTAGTACTCTACCACTTTTAGCCACAGCACCACTTCTGGTTTTTTGATGGTTAATTGAGGATAAGAATCTCATGGACTTTACTACTCAGGCTGGCATCTAACTGTGATCCTCAGAACTCAGCCTCTTGAGTAGCTAGGATCACAGATGTGAGCCACCAGCTTCTGGTGGATATAATAAATTATATAAAAACAATAAGATTATATAATCTTCTTACTCAGTAACTAACTTCCTTTAATGACTACAAACGTCCTATAGGAATATGTTCTTGTCATGCTATGATATCAGCATGCCCAATTACCTGATAGCTTAAGTGAATTTTATAGAGCTGGTCATTCTGAAAAATGCTGCTATAATTTCCTACTAGCATGGGAACATCTAGATTGACATTTTTCATTTGATAAATGATGTGCTCAAATTTTGGTGAAGATTCCAGTGGTTCAATTCCATAGGTGATATTTTCCAACTGTAGAAATCCCCTAAGATTCAGAAACACAATAACAATTAAAATCCAGCCAATGATCCTATCATAGCTATAATCTGTAGTATACACAACTGTGTTAAATAAAATATGGCATTTGCAGGGGAGAAAACAAATGATGTTAATTCCCTAGAAATACTATCTCACAGTCCAACAAAATGAATACCAGGAAACTGAAGAAATGGAGTAGTATCAACTACAAAAAATGAATAAAATCCATCATTTTCAGAAAACTTGATGAAACTCGAGATCATTATGTTGAGTAAAAAAGTAAGACTCAGAAAGAGAAATAAGTTTTCTCTCATATTTAGAATCTAGATTTTAAGAGAGAGAACATTAAAATAGGGTAGCAATAGGGTATTTAAAAAGGTGAATACAATCAAGTCATAATATATGTACATAGAAAATGATATAATGTAACTCATTACTATGTATAATTAATGTCTTTATCATGATTAAAAATATATTAGTATCTTTGTGTGTGTGTGTGTGTGTGTGCTGGTTCTGGGGCTTGAATTGTTGGGGTCTTTCCTTGAGCTTTTTTGCTCAAGACTAAGTGTTCTTCCACTTAAGCCACAGCTCCACTTCCAGATTTTGCTGGTTAATTTGAGATAAGAGTCTCCTGGACTTTCCTGCTCAGGCTAGCTTCAAACCATGATCTTCATATCTCAGCCTCCTGAGTAGGTATGAGTGACAGGCACCCAGCTTATCTATTTAGTATTTATTAGAATTATGAAGACTGTCCTGCCGAGGATCAAGATATTTGTTGAGAATTCGATGAAGAAAGTTCTACTTGTTACAGATATTACAGGTTTTTAAGATGAAGGAAATTAAGCAGCTGTGCAGAATGCCTATCTAAAGAAGTTCATACTCATGCAGGCACATTAGGACAATGTTACTTTTTTAAACCTACAGAAATAAATTCTAGAAACCAGGATACTAATATGAAAGGGAAGTAGAAATAACTTTTTTCTCTACTCTTGACTCTCTGTCCTCTGGCACACTTCAGACAGTTTACAATCCCTCTCAACAGTGGGCAAGGATGACAAAAATCACTTAACTCTGCCCTTTTACCTCTGAGGCATTTTCTAAAATGGTTCTTTTATATCTGCTACTACATGGAGGTTGATATTGACTATCGTATTTAAAATCACTAACAAAAGGTGTTTCCCATAATTGAGATAATGATAGAGATAGCACTGACTTTCTGGGGATGTCCTAATGTTTCTTTTTGTGACACTGTCCCTTCCTGCCTGGAAATGTCTCCATCCAAAAATGCCCTGGATGATGCCATCTGAAAGGAAACTCAGATCCAAGTATTCACATCAAAATAAATAAAAGCGAGTCCATCTTTTCAGTTTGGATTTTAGATTTTCCCTAATTTATGTCAGCTAGCCAGTGTATTTCATTGTAATGTCTATCTGCATTCTTCCATTTATAAATATCTTGTAAGCAAATATTACCTGAGGCCAGAGCAGGCACTGAGGGTCACAACAGAATTTGGAAATTCAGCAATATAACCTCGGTAATGACAATGCATCTGAGAAAGCAGACAGACAGAGAAATATACACGTTCTTATAAATATGAATATGAAACATCTCCAGACATATTGCTCAAGGCTTTAAGATTTGATTATATGAAAACTGTGAATTATATAAAATTATTAATGCAAATTTGGAGAAAAAGTATGTGACAACTCTCTTCCCTTCATATTCCAGGGGACTCATAAATGCCCTTTTGCACTTGAGTTTCATCCTCTACCTGCCACTTCCACATGCAACAGTCAACCATGCAACAGGGCAGAGTTACACAGAACAAAACATTCATATTAGTTTGTCAACATGAAACAAAATATCCCAATGGTAGTGGTATGTTCACTTCAACACAAAAACAAAAATTAAAAATATCTAAGACATCTAATTCTTACCATAAAATATGAAGACTCAGAATGCAAAGATCCAGTTTCATTATATGTATAAATCAAAAAATTCTGGGATAAGAATGAGCTAAAAAAAACAAATCAATAAATAAAGTTTCAGTTGTGGATTAATCATGAATACACACACTAATTGAAATAAGTAGTAAGTGTATAGAATTGGTATGACATGATTTAGTGACAGTTATTTTAGTGTGGCATGATATTTGAAACTGAAAACTGGTGTTCAGACTCTGGACTCTGGAAGAGACTGTTACTCTGTGATTAGATATTTGTATTTGTACTTGTATATGGTATTTCCTGCTGTGTATTTCTATGACAGAGCCTTTTCTGGGGCTGGAGCATAGCAGTAAATAAAAGACAAAATCTCTGCCTTTGTGGCAGGAATGAAAACTTCTACTAGTTAGACAACAATAAATAAGATCTGGATGCTGAAGTGGTTACAAAGATGTACATAGTTTTGGCCTGAAAAGCTCATTGCAGAGATGACTGGAGACAGGAAGAACAAGTCATAGAGATTTTTATAAGAAATTAATTCCAGACAGGAAAAAAAATTCATGGAGCCTGAGGCAAAAATGTACTTGCATGTATAGAGAACAACTCTGGGCAATGGGTGAAGGAGAAGACAATAGTATTAGGTGGGTCATGGGAAGGAGGAATTTCTGGATGGTAGAAGCTGGTGAAGACAGAAGTAGACCAACATTTGAACACTGAGCCAAGTCAGACTCAACACTATTGAGAAAATTTGCATTGCAAGGATGAAGAAGCCTGCAGAACAGTTAGGAGGCTTTTAGTATCATCCATGCCAGCCATAATTAGGGCTTGATCAACTCTATAATACTGGCAGAAGCTTCACTATAAATACAGCTTAAGGGAGAACACGCAAGATTTGATTTCTCATTGGATCTGGGGAAAAACAAAAGAAAAAATATGCCTAAGATGCGTCCTCAGTATTTTTCCCCTCATTTTCCTTTATTTTTTTTATTAGAGTAACTGGAAGAATAGAGTTGCCATTATTAAGGTAACTTATCAGAAACATAACTTTAGAAAGAAGATCACAAGTTAATCTTCATTAACTGCATGGATCTTAGTAAGCATGTGATTACCAAATAAAAAGATAAACATCCTCTGGATGTCTTCAAATGAATGAGGCAAGTATGAATTTCAGAGCACCTACCACCTACACTGCACTTAAATACAGAAGACTGAATGAAACAGATAGGCAACTGATTACAGAATTAAAATAATTCAAGAACAGTACCATGAACTATTCTAAGGTTGGACAGCATGGAAGGAATTTGCTCTTGTCAGAGGAGTAATAATAATGGCAGGAGACCATCCAGGACCAGAAATCTGTCACATTCTGATAAACAATGAGGAATATATTTTATGGAACAGATTCTGACCACCAGCGACAAATGCTGTCAACTGGCAGAGGAAAAAATGGTGACTAAAAAAACCAGCCATGACATAAAAGAAAATACAAAAAGCATTGATAATCTTGCCAAAAACTGTTCATAGGGGAATGAAAGACCAACATAAGGTTCATAGACCTCAATTAAGCAAGAACAGTCAGGAATTCAGAGAATAACTTTCTCCAGCTTTGTTCAACTATAACGGTATAAGTAATGCAGATAAATAATGGTTGCTGTGTGCTTTAAAAATCTCAGGCTAAATCCAAGCTAATTTTTAATATAGTATGTTGAGGAAATGCAAATCAGGATATAGAAAGTAGACTGATTGTGGCCTGGAATTGTGGGCAAGCACAGAGCTTGACTAAAATGAAACAAGGGCTCTGAAATGGGGAAGGAAGTGTGTTAGGTGCTGATGTCTGTAGCAATGTATTCAAGATTGGGATATCCCTGAATGGTACTCATCAGTGAACCTCATTTGTGAAATATCTCCCATAAGGTAATTAAAAAATAAAGGTTTATAATTAATACATCATAGAAACCATGCCACTACTTGACTCTCCCACAATAACCTTTCATTTTCAGACATCTTTAATAGTTAAGATACTCAGTACTTAAATTATTTGGGTTCAATGACATATTTAAATTGAAAGGAGGCTGCAATGCTTGATAAGAAATGTATGCATTATCCTGCCCATGTAATTGTAACCCCTCTGTACAGTATGTTCACAAAAAAATAAAATAAAATAAAATGAAAAAAAATATTTAAATTGAAATTTCCAAATATATACTTTATTTCTTAATTTAAATAACATCAAAATCTGGAAAACTAAAAGACAAGATCCACATAAATCTAATACTCAAGGCCTATGGATCAAAATTGAAAAATGATCGAAACAAGTCTACATTATATTGCATTCCTGAATTTAATTATTATAAAAGAAACTTTAAAAGAACAAAATCTAAGAATAAAAGTTTCCCTTTTTCTTAACGTACTGTTTTCTGAGATGCAAGGTAAATGGTTTCCCATCAATTGTAACACTATAAAACACCTAAAATAAAACAAATCAATAAATATGACTCAGTAAATCAGACGTATGTATTTTTATTAAAGTTAACTCATAGTATATTAAAAATGAACATTTTCTTTAGAACTTATATAACTAGCAAGAACGTGTGCCCAGAAGACATTGTGAGAAAGGCAATGTACTCATGTAATTGTAATCTTTCTGTACATGACCTTTATAATAGCAATAAATTAAATTTGGGGAAAAAACAATGTGTGCCCAATTAATTCTCACACAATGTGATTGATTTTATGTGTATGGTTGCCTTGATCATAAGAAACATAATACATTTTGAAAAAATGTATTTTAAAATATTTAGTACTATATTATTTGCCTCTATCTTAGAAAGATACTTTTAAGTCAAAATAAATACAGCATGACTGCAGGTTTATATTACACAGTAAATATTATGAAATAACATTTACAAATGTGTCTATTATACATATATAACTTAAATACATTTATCAACTCTCAATATATAAAAACATGAGAATAAGACTGAATGTGGTGGTTTGCACCTGGTATCCCAGCTACTTGAGAAGCAGAAATAGGAGGCAAAAACACAAGACCTTATTTATAAATAACTGAAGTAAAAGGGCAGAATGGCACAGCTCAAGTGGTAGAACACTTGTGTGTAATACTTTAAGTTCAAACCCAGCACTGTAAAATAAATAAAACTGAAGGACTGTACAGGTTAGAAGCCATTATGGAATGCCATAGTACCAAGGTAAAGGGTCATCACGCACTAGGAACTCCAAAGATAGGAGGTGTCTATAGAACCAAACAGATTAAACAATGGGACTAGGTCTATAACTATGTTTATTGCAGCCTTATTTACCATAGCTAAGATATGGAACCAACCCAGTTGCCCCTCAGTAGATGAATGGATCAAGAAAATGTGGTATATATACACAATGGAATTCTATGCCTCCTTCAGAAAGAATGGCATTGCCCCATTTGTTAGGAAATGGAAAGACTTGGAAAAAATTATACTAAGTGAAGTAAGCCAGGCCCAAGGAAACATAGGTCCCATGGTTTCCCTTATTTGCAATAACTAGTATATGTCTGGGACAAGCAGAAAAGGTCAGATAAGATGATGTTAAGTGAAATGAACCCCAAGATAGGGACACAAATGTTTTTTTCTTCCTTGCTATTGTTTCTAACTTATTTATAAGGTACCATGTGATTTTTTTTGTTGCTTAGTATGTCCCTCCCCCATGGTATAATCCCTGTTTTCACTGTATTTGATGTTGGTACAATTTGGGGAAGGGAAGGGAAAAAAAACAAATTGTTTAAATAGGATACAGATTGACCCTTTGCAACAATGAGATGCACAAGACGATATGTCAAAAAATGAACTTTACAACTTAGGCGGGAGGGGGGGATGGGGAGCAGGGGGGGATGGGGTAGCTGAGAAGGTAGGAGGGAAGTGATGGTAGGGGAAAAACAAAGCAGGAGGCAGCAATACTGGATAAGAAATGTACTCATTACCTTGCTCATGTAACTGTAACCCCTTTGTACAGTATTTTCACAATAAAAAACTTAAAGAAAATACAGACTGACATCTATCCTGGCAACTTCCCCAAATTTTTTTATAAGCTAAACCAATCTGAAATGAGACAATCAGTTTTAAGCTACAACAGAGTATGTACACTTGGTAGAGAGCAACTGAACAGTGCTACTTAAAACTGATTAGGAACACCTAGGAGCATTCCCTAGTGCAAGGAGCACACAGACTCAGGCCAGATGTTAATAAACAGCAGAGAATGACCTTATCCCTTAAAACTTATGTAAGCTACTATAGTAAATCCAACATATTATTCCAGATCCAGTGAAAAACAGAGGCCATGAAAAAAAATCTCGTAGGGAGAAAGGCACTTAGAGCTCACACCTGTAATCCTAGTTTCAGCTATCTGTAAGATTGTGGCTCAAGGCAGCCCAGGCAGAAAAGTCTGTGAGACTACATCTGTAAAATAAGTAGCTGAAAGCAAGGCTGTAATCATGGTTTAAGTGGTAGAGCATTAGCTGAGTAATCAAATCAAGCAAGCCCTGAGTTCAAACCCTGATACCACAAAAAAGGTTGACAATTTCTCAAGTTCAGCAGCAAAAACAAACTCTAAAAAATTCTGAGTTCAAAAACATCAAGAGTGACAGATAACAAGTTCAGCAAATAGAATAGAAACCATAAAGTATTAGAGTGAAACAATAACTTAATATTTAGTATCTTTAGAGTAGTAAGATCAGATATTATGCTCAAGAAGTAAGAATTAGGTGTAATTCAATATTCTAAAATTTTTCTACTGCTCACCAAGGGCTTATTAAATGGCTATCGCTGTCTCATGCCCTTTTTATGTCTATTATGCTAATAAAAAACAACAGAAATAAATATGATGCCAAAGGCATCATACAACTTTAAATGTTTTATATTAGAATATGTAATTTATATATGGGGATTATATCATGATAAAGAAGTCATTTCTCCAAGAAGCTATAACAAACATTAATGTATATATGTCTTTAAAACAAATAGAGCATCAGGATGTTTAACAACTCTCTATAACAATTGCACAGATCCAGCAGAAAGAAAGTCAGTAAGGACACAGTGGTTAACTCATCAGCACCATCTGTCAACGCCATATAATGGACATTTGTATAGCTAGTCATGCATCATCTATTTCATCCAGCCATAGTAGAACACACATTCTTTTCAAACTCAAATAGAGAAAAACTTATCCTGGACCATAAAACAGACCATAGCAAATATAAACTGACATACGTCATATAAACTGTGCTCTTAGACCAAACTGGAAAGCAATTATATTGCTAGGCTTGTGCTCTACCACTTGAACCACAGGCTCCAAACCAGTAAGTCAAGTGGCTATTTAAAAAAAAGATAATCAGTGTGGATGAGGTTGTAAAAAATTTGGAACCCTCATTCATCATAGATTAGAATAAAAAAATGGAAAATTTCTCAAAAGCTTAGAAATAGACTATCAGTTAATGCACCAATAGACTATCATTTAATGCACCAATGCACATATGGTTATACTCCTAAAAGTGCTTGTCAGCACTATATATATATATATATATATATATATCATAAATATTAAAATACTACTGAGTCTTAAGGAAATCATAATATCTGAACAACACACAGGAACCTAGAGGTCATCATGCCAGGTGAAACAAGCCAGTTACAGAAGACAAATACTGCAAGGTTCCACTATAAGAGGTATCTATGACAGTCAAACTCCAAGAAGCAGAGAATAGAATGAGGTTGTCAGTGTCTACAGAAAGGAAGAGTTAAAGACTCCATATAGAGCTTCCCTATGACCTAGCAATCCCACTTTTGGGCATTTACCCAAATGATCACAAAAAAGACCATACTAAAGCTACCAGCACAACTATGTTTATTGCAGCATTATTTACCATAGCTAAGATATAGAACCAACCCAGATGACCCTCAGTAGATGAATGGATCAAGAAAATGTGGTATATATACACAATGGAATTCTATGCCTCCATCAGAAAAAAAAATGACATTGTCCCATTTGTTAGGAAATGGAAAGGCTTAGAAAAAATTATACTGTGAAGTAAGCCAAGCCCAAAGAAACATAGGTCCCATGGTTTCCCTTATTTGCAATAACTATTATATGTCTGAGACAAGCAGAAAAGGTCAGATATGTTGATGTTATGTCGAAAACGAACTATACAACTTTGGTGGGGATGGGAGGATTAGGTGAGGGCAGGGGAGAGGATGGGAAGGGATAAGAAGGGGAAACAAAGGAGGAAGCAACAATGCTTGATAAGTAATGTACTCATTATCTTACCCATGTAATTGTAACTCCTCTGTATGGTATTTTCATAATAAAAATTTTTTTAAAGAAAGGAAGAGGTAGGGGTCTTGTTCAGTGAGAATAGGGTCTCTGAACTGAAACATGAATTTATTCTTTAAAGCTGGTTCTCAGCATAGTGCACACAGTAGGTGATTCTCTATTGTACACTTGGACAGTTGTTAAAAAGGGTAGAATTCTTGTTCTTACCCAAAATAAAAGTACACAAAGAGATGTCTGATGGTGATGGAATGTATTTAGTGTATTGATTGCCATAATGCTATGATGGCTGCATGTATATGTCTAAACTCACCAAAATGTGTACCTTCCACACATTCCCTTTTTATATCAAGTATGCTACAGTAAAACTTTCAAAACGTAAAATGGTATCCTCTATTGTAAAATAGCTCCAAGAATTCCAAATGCAAACTACTAAAATGTAGACAAATAATGGAACTCCTCATGTCCTCTTTTAGTAAAAAGCATTCCAGGCCTGTTCAGTTTCTGTATTCTGTGCTTCCTGACTTGGTGCTATGCAAGTAGGCAGTTTTGCAACTTCTTTTTTTAATACTTTATTCACATACTGCAATCTTTTTCTTCATTATCTAGCTAACATTGCACTTTCTCCCTTCTCTCTCCCTTTTCTTCCTTCCCTCCTTCCCTTTCTTCCTTCCTTCCTTTTTTATTCACACCCTCCTCGCCCTTCTTTGTTCCTCAGATCATCACATCTACTAGTTCTGATGCTTAAAGGTCTAATTTTGCAATGTTTATATTTTATCAAAACCACTTTTTCTATCAAAGGGCTCCAAGAGAGTTAAATCAACATACACATGCTTTCCAAGTGGTTATAAATTAGAATCACTAAGTACCAGTGTAAGTGCCAAACAACTCATAATTACTTACTTGTTCCTGTGACACTTCCCTCCCACTTGGCCTTATCTTCCTGGGCACTGTGAGGTGCAGCAGTATTCCTTCCGCACCTGAAGCGAGAGTGTGCTTTTCTAGTGTTCTTGATTTCCCCTTGCATTATTTATTTTCTTAGGTAAAGAAAGGTCATGGTTCAGTAAGTGTAGAGTGAGTGCCTACCTCTAGGGCTCTAACACAGCAAACTGTATATTTCACCCTTCTGGGTGCTCAGTTAAAAGTGGTTGAAGATGGGCATCATCGATGGCTCATGTTAGCTACTCCATCCTCGGAAGGAACCGCATTCTCTTACCTCTATTTAACTACAAAAAAAGCTGGAAGTGGAGCTGTGGTTCAAGTAGTAGAGCACTAGTCTTGAGCAAAGAGCTCAAGGACAGCACCCAGCACCCAGAAGTGGCATGTGTGTGTGCGCGCGTGCACATGCGCATGTGCACGCACACACACACACGCGCGCGGCTTGACATACAAATAAAGGACCAGCTGGTCCTGTGGCTCAAGGCTCACCCTACTTGTGTCCACAGCCGGGCAGAGTTGAGGGCTGTTGCCCTCGGGACTCAGAGCCAACTGTGGGCTTGCACACTTGTAAGGTCCAGCACTGGGCAGAAGGCGCGGGGACACTGGCCAGGAGTCTGGGGCTGAGTCCCTGAAGCGAATGCAGCCCAGACTCCTCCACTGACATCGGTGACTCGCCTGGCCTGGTTTGGGGATTAGAAGGTGGTGAAGTAGGGTAGGCAGCAGCAGAAATGCAGGAAACGGGTGGTGAGGGTCTGCGGGCTAAGGGACATGGTTTCCCAGCAAGGAGGGTGGCAAACGCCCTCAGCAAGGGGGCAGCGGGGTGCCCGCGGACTTGGGCTTACCCAGGCAGGCCGGCAGCGTTCCAAGCTCGGCGAGCAGTGCCAGGAAAAGGAACATGGTCGTCATCCAGGGCACCTGGCACACACAGCCCGGACAGAGGCGGTTGGGCAGGGATGAGGCGCGTGGTGCCCTTGGCACGTGGGTCAGATGCGGGGCCAGAGGCCTGTGCGAGAATGCGGTTCCAGCGGGGAAGGACGAGCGCACACATGTGTGCCCGGCTGGCCCGAGCCATCTGGAGGGATAAACAGACAGATGAGCATGCTGGGCCTGCACTAAGGACAGCAGGCAGGACTGCAAGGCTGGACCTGAGGCCACATGGCTGGAGAGAGACACTGCTGTCTCTGTCTTCCCCACACACATGTGTCCTAGCTGCACGTGCCCCACACCCCACTGGCCTCCCTCACACCTCACCTGGAGTTCTTTCCTATCTACCCCCGGGCAAGCCACTGCCCAATGGGAATTGTGTCCGTAGTTGCAAAAGTAAAATCTGTTTGGAATCTATTTGGTACTGCTATGCTTAAGCAACTGGTAACTAAGAAATCATTGCTAACTGTGGGTGCTGTGGGTCAAGCTTGTAATCCTACCTTCTCAAAAGGTTGACCTCTACAGGTTCAAAAGCCAACGTGGTCAAAAGAAAGAGTAATAGGCTAGAGGGGGTAGGGGGAAGGAGGGAGAGGGACAGAGACAGAGAGACACACAGAGAGAGAGGGAAGGATGGAGGGAGAGGGAAAGATAAAGAGAAAAAGGAAGGAAGGAAGGAAGGAAGGAAAGGAGGGAGGGAGGGAGGAAGGGAGTGAGGGAGAGAGGAAGGGAGTGAGGGAGAGAGGGAGAGAGGAAGAGAAAGAGAAAGAGAGAGAAGAAATTATAACGAAAATAAGATGTGTTCATCATAGCCTAAATAAGTTAGAACAATGAGGCAGAAGAAAATGTAGTAGAATCATAAGAACTTGTGTTCTCTAGGCAGCTATATTTTGACGTAATTTCATATACCACACAATTCACATACCTAAAGTGAACCAAATGATCATTTAATACATTCACAAAAATGTGCAATTCAAAAATGTGCAATTATTTGCAGATAATATTAATATTATTTCCTCAAAAATAAGCTATTGCTCCTCTACCATTCCTTCATCTCTGGACCTCTAAATACTAAACTGGATGAGAACTACTCAACTAGTTCTTATCTCTAGAGCTATCCCTAATCTAGCTACTTGACCCAAATGAACAATATGACTCCAAGTCTTCCTCCCTGGCTTTACTCACTTAGCATGATGGCTTCAAGGTGCATCCATGTTGTAGAAACCACAATGTTCCATTCCTTTTACGGATGATAATGTTCCATTGAGAGACTGTTGCATATTTATTAGCCCTTTCCTCAGTGGACTGATACTTGGAAAAGGAAATTCTGCTTCTGTAATGAGGTTGTCACAGCATCATCTCTTTTTTGGGGTTTTGGTTTTGATTTTGGTTTTTGCGATTTGCTAGATCTTAGACTCTAGTTGGTCATGTGGTCCCCTAATCCGTGTTAAATGCCTTAAAACGTGCAGAGGCACACTCATGTTCAGGAAGGAAGGGATGGAGAGAGAGAGAAAAGTTCAGCTCTACTGAAAACTCAGTAGGAAGTTTAGCTTTCGCAAAAGACCAAAAGAGAAAGTAAAAAAAAAAAAAAACTAGAGCTTAGTTTAGGAGATCATAGAAGCATCACCTGATTTCTGTAACCAGAAACTCAGTCTGGAAAATTACTTTAAAACAGAAAAGATGCTACTGATTATCCAAAACTCCCCCTACCTGTCCCAGAGCCTGGAGCAGACAAAACTGTTGAAGAGGGAAACATGTTAGAGGTATCACTTGAGGAAGACCATGGGCACTTGAAGGTGAATAGCAGCAATAGACAGTGTGAGGTTGTTAGCTTAGACTCCTTGGCTACCTATGTATTGCCTGTTGAGGGACCAGAGCAATGAAAAGCATCAACCAATCCAAGCATACATGCTTTCAGGCATAGGATTTATTTTAGTTTGTGAAATTGAAAGGTGTGAGATATACAAAAACAAAGACAGGTTGTTGGTTGTTGGGTTTTTTTTTTAATCTTGTCTCAAGCTGCTTAAACGTGAGTTTCTTGGTGGTATCTTTTCTCCATTATGGCCTTTGATGTTACTGCACAATTACTGTTGCAAAAGAAATACAGAAAAGTAGAAAAGCTACATTCTTACTATTATTGAAAGCCATCCAGTACTTCTTTGCAACTACAGCTAAAGCAATTAATTAATACAATACTGTGTCCATCTGTGCTTAGAATTCAGAGCATTTATAAAGCAAAGATTATTTTTAATGAATAGTTTGTGATAGCTACAGTAAAAGAAAATGTCTTTTAAAAATGGGATGTATATGTTTCACTTGCAGTTTCAAAGCTTTACATGAGTAAAGGAAAACCAGTCAAAGAACACAAAACCAACAATACCAACAAGCAAAGAAAAAGAGAAGAGCACTTACTAAACCCCTCCAGTTCCTCTGGCCATTGTCCTGCTTGCACTTGTTCAAAACCCATCAATTCATCAGCACGTGTTAAAGTGGTCTTACCTAATTTTACAGTATGCCATTGCTAAAAGATTTCACTGTTGATTCTGCAAAACCTTTGAGGTCTTTGTACTTGCTTTATTCTAAACCCCTATCCATCAGCACTGCCTCTGCCTTGCCTCTCAAACTTTGTCCTTTCTCCTCTTAATCAGTCCTGTATGGAATAAATTCTTACCCGCTTCACTATTCTCCAGTTCTACCTATTTCCATTCTCTCTTGCTTATGCCAGGGAAATTTGTAAAACACAAACTTATATCAAACACTACTTTTATCACCTAAGAAATATTTTTGTACGTTTTTTATTGTAAACCCCTATACAGAGGGGTTACAGTTACAAGCGCAAGGTAATGAGTACATTTCCTATTGGACATAGTTGCCTCCTCTTTTGTTTTCCCCTTCCATCCCTTCCTTCTTCCCACCTCTACAACTATCTAAGAAATATTTTAACTATGTCCCTATTAATACAGGAGACAATCAACCCCTGATCATGACATACCAGATGTTTTTCTCCATTCTTCCTTAAGACATTATCAAAAGGGACATTGGAAACCGATCTATAATGTAAAAGTCTTTCTTTTGAAATTATTCTAATGTCCTATTGTCTTTCTGCATTATGTCACTAAACATGTTAACACTTTTTTTCTGTTTTTTTCTTTTCTGTTTTTTATTTTTATTTTTTGTCGGTCATGGGGCCTGAACTCTGGACCTGAGCACAGTCCTTCAGCTCTCTAGCTCAAGGCTAGCACCCTACCACTTGAGCCACAGTGCCACTTCTGTCTTTTTCTGCTTATTTTGGTGCTGAGGAATTGAACCCAGGGCCTCATGCATGCAAGGCAAGCAGTCTACCACTGAGCCACCTTCCCAGCCCCAACTCTTTTTTCTTAAGCACTCAATTAATTTGGTTTTTAGAATGATCTCTCCTTCTATCTCTCCCATAATAGATTGGGACAAAACAGCAGCAATTGGTGTTCTTGGAATTTAAGTCCTCCAATGACTCTTTTCCTTTACTCAGTAAAAGAGACATGGACTCTGCAGCCTCCAAGACCTCCAATCCCTTCAAGATTTTCAATGATGCTTGCTTCTCTGACCTAATCATAGATACTATACTTTTTTTGTCAGTCATGGATAGGGCTTGAACTCTGGGCCTGGGTGCTGTCCCTCAGCTCTTCTGCTCAAGACTAGTGCTCTACCACTTGAGCCATAGCACCATTTCCAGTTTTCTGATGGTGGTTAATTGGAGAAAAGAGTCTCATGGACATTCCTGCCCAGGCTGACTTTGAACTGCAATCCTCAGATCTCAGCCTCCGGAGTAGCTAGGATTATAGATGTGAGCCACTGAAGCCCAGCTACATACAATACTTTTATCTAACTCTGATCCAGATAAACAGAACATCTTTATGTCATCCAAGCCCTCTGTCTAAGTTCTGGATTGGACCTTTCATATATTTGCAGAGCCACTCCTCTCATATTTGTATAGATAATTTAGCCAATAGTTTGTCTGTATAAATTAATATAGATGCTATAGAGGTGGAGTTGGAATAATCTATCCTCATCTCTGTGAAAGAATGAGTGTCTGCTTTAACCCTATTGCCAAGATGTGGACAATGGGGCTTTAACAGTGAGACATTTAAAAAGTGAAATGAAAGCCCTTCAGTCCTGTGTCTCTCAAATCTCCAATGATTGGTGACACACAAAGACACAGAAATCCATTGACTTCCAATCATATATGAATATAAGCAACTGGAAGAATTTTTCATCTAATGCTTTGTTGAAATTTTAATTATTCTTACTCAGTTCTAGTGATAGACCTAATGTATAAAAGACCATAGATAAGCTGGATGCCAGTGGCTCACACCTGTAATCCTAGCTACTCAGAGGCTGAGATTTGAGGATCACGGTTCAGAGCCAGCCTGGGCAGGAAAATCTGTGAGACTCCAATAAACCACTCAGAAAGCCAGAAGTGGAGTAGTGGCTCAAGCAGTAGAGTGCTCACTTTGAGCTGAAGAGCTGAGGGACAGCGTTCAGGCCCAGAGTTCAAGCCCCATGACCAAAACAACAACAACAAAAAGACCATAGATCGCATCTTTTTTAGTCTTATGGTAAAGTGGGTGCACTTAAGCATTTGTTTTGGTTTCCAGGCAGTGTAAATCCCTTTGCTAATACCCAATCACAGATCAGGCTGTATGAATCAAGATTGTTCTTAAGAGATAAACTCAAGTCTGATGCCTTAAACTCCAATATTCTGTACACATGAGAAATTATTTAAATTCCTCATATTTGTTTCTTTATTTTTAAACTAACGATAATAATAATCATGGGTTCTTATGAAGAAAGAAATGCATGTAAATGTGGAAAGACAATCTCTGGTTAAGTTTACCAATTAGAGACTTAAATGAGAAAGCATAAAGTATACTATGTTCAGAGGTACTTTAAGAAAATATTGAAAATTTCCTTAAAATAATTTCATGTTATAAGAATAT